CAAATACTTTATCATCCATTATCTAAAAGCCCGACATGTCTAGTGTATAGCAAAAAATAAAAGTTTTTAACCATAAAAATTCGATTTCCATAAATTAAAATCAACTTAAGCAAGTTGTTCCCACACTTTAGAAGTTGGAAACAACTTTGATGTGAGCATGTTAAGATCTTAGACGCCATTTTGGTTTGCAATGACAGACACGATAGTTGGACACACACACACACACGCACACACACTTGTTTAGCCGGCAAACATAATTAGATTGCATTATGTAAGTGTTGCCTGGGCGGCTAGTGGCTACCCCCCAGACACACACACTCGCACACTCCTGCTCACGCCCCACCCTGGGCAGTCTAAGCTCTTAACCCTTACCCGAGGCAATTTCAATAAAATTCGGCTCTAGTCTGCGACGGACTAAACCCAAAAAGCAGTCAAATGTCTCAGACACAAACCACAGCGATGTCTCGCCCTGGCATTATGCCTTGTCCAACACACACACACACACAGCTACACTCTTAGACAACTGTTTTCCCTTCTCTCTCCCTCACTCTCTCTCTCACTCTCTCTCTCTCCCACTCTCCCACTCTGCCCTGTGAGCTACAGGATTTGGCCAAGGCAATGGCCTTTCAAAATTTTCGAATTTACGTAAATTTAACTTTCTTGAAATACACTTAACTGTAAAATTAATTATAAAAGGCAATTGTGTTGGTATATGTGTGTGTGTGTGTGTGCGTGTGTGTCTGAGCTTATGCGCATGTATGCATGTCTACACATGTATGTGCGAGTGTGTGCATGTTATACAGCCGCACACCCACTTAAGTTTGTCTTGGTCTTTGGCCGAAAAGGTGTTGGCATGGAATTTGCATAACCAACTGAACGTCAATGTCTTCTGCATGCGACCAGCATATGAGCATGTGTGTGTGTGTTAGTGTGTGTGTGTGTGTGCGCATGTACAGTTGTGCGCGTCGACATTTGCATAGTCCACGTTGTATACATGACCAACCAGTTTCTATGTATGCGAAAACACACTAATTAAATGTTGAAGGCAGTTTATATTGATGCCCCCGCATGGCCAGCGGGCTGGCGAATCAGGCTCACGACGGGGACGGGGGGAGGGCAGTGGCAAAAGCATACAGGTAAATTTACATATATATACATTTGTACATATGTGCTGTGCATTATACAATAGTGAGAAGGTAGAGTGTCTATGTGTGTGTATGTGTATTGGCTTGCCTAAGAAAATCTATAGCCGACGAGGCTCAAACTCAAACCGCAACCCAAATGTCTTCATTTTCCACATCAGACCAAATGCAGCCGCAGTTACACACACACACACACACATACGCTCACAGATACATATTATTAGATATGCATGTGTGTGTGTATATAAGGATTTGTAATTACATTCGGCATCATTCGGACTCGCCTTTGTTGCCCAAGGCAGCAGCAGCAGCAGCAGACGCATTTCTAATGATTATTTGCATCAATTTCTAAAATTTCTAACTTTATATTAGAAAATAAATACCTATTTATATTTATTGTATATTTGACTGGCATTAATGCTTCTCAAATATTAAGTCTAAAAAT